GCTATTACGTAAGGGGCTGATTTGGATCCATATGTTTAATATTATTGCTAGATTTATCTTAATCTTCTTTTGTAGTTGCGATGCTTGCGAGAGAGGTTAATCGTAAGTGGAAGACTTGTTCAAGTAAGAACATTATCCAAGCACCGGTTCACCCATATATCAAATTACCAAAGTAGCGAACGCGAATCAAACAAACATGATGAAAATGACCAGATGAAATTCCCGTGTGTCCTCAAAACCGCCTTGCTTATTATAAGAGACCGTTCCAGCATGTCCTTTGCTAAAAAAGGATTGTGCTACCTTGATGCACCTTAGTTACTATTGCTACTTGTCACTTGTTGGAAATTATCTTGCTATCAAACTCGTTACCGATAATTTCAGTGCTTGCAGAAATACCTTGCTGAAAATTGCTTGTCATTTTCTTCTGCTCCTCGTTGAGTTCCACACTCTTATTTATCGAAAGGACTACGATTGATTTCATACATTTATGGGTCATCACTATTACACTTGAAAGAGAAAGCTCATAAAAGATCTTACCCTCATGGGCCACGGGCAGAAAAAGCATATTGAAAAATTCTTGGATTCTTTTTTTTGCGGGTGAAAATTCTTGGATTCAACTTCATCTTTGAACTCATCCACTTAACCTCTACTCTCCTCACGTACATAATTTAACTTTTTTTACGGGGGCATACACAATGTAACTGATGTAAATAGCTACTTTTTGTTCTTTTTCAAACATAAGCAGGAATGATTTGCTACTGTCCTTGGTCCAAAAAGACTTAGATTTTTCTCAATTTTGGCAGATTTTTTTTTACTTGTATTCTTGTTTTTTCATATTTGTATACAGATAGACCTAAACAAATTCGTAATACAGATAAACGAAAAAAAAAGCAATTTTCCCCCTAAAACAATTTTTTAGAGGACAAAAAAATGTAATTAGCACAGGCGATACTAACGAAGTAGATAGTTCAACTAGAAAAAAAACACCGAAGTGGATAGTTTTTTTAGGGGAACGAAGTAGTAGATAATTAGCATCCAGCCCAGGGTCTAATTACAAAATTAGAAAAAGCTCCCCGCACCCATCCTACGAGTCACTGAGAAAATTACCAGATATCCCGATCCGTCGCCTCTCCGGCCCACCCAATTGCTTCGATTTCTCGTCCCCTCGCCTCGCCGCAGCAGCGGCTGTACGACATTCGCCGAATCCTCCCCGACGAACACGTCCCCATGCCACACCACGCTGGAGGAGTTCATCTCTCGTAGCGGGAGCAGTTGGACTGGCGAGGAGTGGAGATCCATTCGGACTTTGGATTGATCCCTTTCGTTGGTGACGAACCCTAACTTTACTTGGTCGTTCTGAGATTTATTCCGTGATGTTTTATTTTTGATGCGTATGGCCTAATCTTGGCCGCCCTTTCTGCAATGGATGGATACTGGGCGGGCGCTACAACCCATCTAGTTTGCCGCGGTCTTGCCGCTGCTGCGTGGTGCGGTACTGATAGCAATTTGTTTTCCGAATTCCGGGGCTCAACTGATTCCTCACGCCCCAAATCATGCCCGCCCTTAACTTGAACTGATATATACTTTAGTGTTATAGCCATATACCAGATTAAGCTTGTAATTACTGTTTGTCTGTTGCATATGTCGCATGTCTTGATGTCAGTATTTGGAGAATGCCGGCTATTTGTTTGGGTGCTTGTTTTTGCGTCAACAATGTATTGCCATGCCCAGATTAAATTATATATGCCTTCGTGCAAGCTATCTGGTGATTTGACACCGCCTTTGCAGCGACTGCTCACACTGTCATCCGCACATTTCTGGATCTGCCCGTGGAGATAAATAGTATGATTTGTTTCATCTAGTTTCCAACAAATGAGAACTTCCCTTAAGATGGGGGAATGCAAACTTGTGATCCAAAAGTGTCTAAGCCTGTCCAGTTTGTAAGGAAAAAAACATCATTCTTTGAATCTACATCAGCTACTGTTGATCTTGGCCCTTGAGCCACCTCAACATCTTATATGTGATTTATTTGTACCATTCCTAAACCTACCTGTGAAAGCTATTTGCATGATCATCAAACATATCGAATTGTCTGTACATGATCAGATTGCATCATCACCAAACCTACCTGTGAATGCTGCTATTTGCATGATCATCAAACATATCCAGTGGTCTGTACATGATCAGATAGCATTTTCCTGGTTACAGGGAGTTCCTACCTGATATTCCCTTCGATGTTATTATAAGAAATAATTAATGAGTAAGAAAACCACAACTCTTAGTAAAAATCCCCTGGAATACACTTGTTCATTAGAAACATTTATGCAACTCCATGGAAAAGAAGGATGGCATAGGGACATTTTACCCTCATTGTCAAATAGAAACTCCATCTTTCATGTCTTGTATTGACCTGCCTAGGGCACTTGTGGTGTAGGTGCATTTTGAGATCCATGCTTGTGGTTTCTAGCAATTATAATGAAATGTTCATAGTGTGAATAACACTGATATTAGGTTCCACGCCTAACATTTATGTATATTAAGAAGTTGTTAGCTGGCACTGGCTATTCTTGCAGAGTTTTACTAGACCATATCGAACTTGTCCTTGCTGTATGACATTGTTTGATGTGCTTTACTTATAAATGAACAGTCCTTTCATCTCTGCTTACTCTCTAGGACATGCTTTTGCTGCTTTCTTTTTATTAGATATACCATGTACCAAGTTTCTGAGATTGCCTGGTTCCATATTTATTTATGTTCTCAGTTTGGATGATTTGTTCAAACTTTAGGCTTTATTGCTTTTGCCCCAATTGTTTATATCTTCTTTGTAATTTAATATTTATGCAACATTGCATATTGCAGCTGTTAGATAAGTTCGAACATGTCCATGCTTCCTCACTAATAAAAGTAACGGAAATAAATAAAACATCCATGACCTAAATGCTCAAACCACTTGAAATTTGCTTTTCATTTTTTCACACTATATATCCTGAAATTAGCTTCTACGTGAGATATGGTAGTATCACTTGATTTTGAAGGTGATGAGCAATTTGAGCAGAAGGATTTAAAATAAACCCAGAAGATTGTAAAGTAGCCATCTTTCTGTATACAGTATAGCTCATGGTAAGAAATAGTGCAACTTCATTTGTTGTTGTCATGAAGTCGTGATTGTTATAGCAAACTAGTACTGATCAGTATTACGTGATTCGATAGAAGTAGATTGATAAATATAATTTTTCTTGTTATTAGTAACTGAATATATATGCACTTTTGTGCCACTATTCTAGATCCCTTTTCCTGTTTTGGGAAGCTATGGCAAGAACTCCAAGGCACCGCGACTTATCAAGCCGGCGACTTCGGTCATCTCCTCCTGATGCACCTTCCCACTACCAGAAAGCAACAAAGGCAGCCAAGGAAAATAAATTGAAATTAACCTCGGAGAAAAAGGATTGGAAACATGCCACTTGCCCAATATGCTTGGAGCGTCCACATGATGCTGTCCTCCTGCTGTGTTCTTCACACACCAAGGGTTGTCGACCATACATGTGTGGAACCAACTATCATCAGTCTAATTGTCTCGAACAGTTTAAAAATGCTTATGTGAAGGAGAAGCCGGCAAATGAAGTATCAATTGCAGTGGCAGCAGCTAGCAAGAAGCCAAAGGATGTGGAGCTTGCTTGCCCTATCTGCCGTGGGGAAGTGAAAGGCTGGACAGTGGTTGAACCAGCCCGGCGATTTCTCAATCGCAAGAAGAGAACTTGCATTCATGAAGACTGCTCGTTCATGGGATCATATAAGAAACTCTGCAAGCATGTGAAGGTCAGACATCCTTCATCAAAACCTCGTGAAGTTGACCCTGCACGATTGGCTGAATGGAAGGAGCTTGAAAGTGCAAAGGAGAGGCAGGATGCAATCAGCATAGTCACAGGCTTGAATCCAGGATCTATGATTATTGGGGACTATCTTATTGACCCCAATAGTGGCAGCAGCGACTCTTTTATGGATAACTCTGATTGGAGTGATGACTCTGACTCTTACACGTTTCCTGATGGTGGTGATATTATGTTTTCTGGAGCTCCTGATATCCGATCATTACGAAGAGTGGTTCGCAGAGCTTACAGGACAAGTGGGGCAAGACCAAGGCAAAATGTCCAGCGTCGCGCTCTAACCATCTCCAGAAGCAGTGGAAGGCGTGGATGGCCGCAGGTTGGTTCTGCTCTGTCAGCTCGGATGCCAAGGGGGAGACAAGCAAGATCCACAAATGACAGCTGAGAAATGGGAGCATTTCATCTGCCAGGAAGCAGACACAAGCACCTTACCATGAGAGCTGATCCGGCGGAAACAGTATTCATGAATCCTTTAGCATGTTTCTTTCTGGTTTGGTCATAGAGGGTGGGTTTTTAAAGATTTTTTTTCTTGTTGGGCCACTTCTTTTTCTCTGATGAATGCGTTGCTAGATCTGTGAATGACGTTTCTTTTATTTCCTTTTACCAAAGTAGAATAGAAGCAGCGTATCTGTTAGGCAAAAGATTGCTTTAGCCATTGGTGTTATTGTCCTTGAAAAGCACAACCCAACTCTTGGTCATTTCTGTTCAAAGTTAGTCAGACCATTTTGTTATATGTTTCCTGATGTCTTTTGACATATTGCTCGACTTGTATTTTGAGGTTCCTGTTGGGTGTTATCCGATCTCATTGTGCTGACTTGCGGTTCCGTCGATCCAACTTGTTAGGAGTTGGTTGCGACTTGCAAGCTAGTTTTCCCAGTAATAAACAGTAGGTTTCAGTTTGTCATCAGGTAAGCAGATTGCAAGGCGGCAATGAACACGGTTTATATCTAGAACATGAGTTTACTTAGCTATCTGCGCTCAGTTTACACCACTGAGAGGGTGACGATCTACATGTTTCTCGACAGTACATGAATGACAGAGCTGTAGCAGGTATAGGAGCTGGATGGTTCATCATATATACACACAGGTGACAGGGATCGAGATGGTCGCCCTTCTCTAAGATATACCAATGGTCTTCCCCAGCAGCCACATGACTAGCGAGAACTCGAGCATGAAGAGCGCGTGGAGCCACGTCCGGTCCACGACGAAGCCGAACACCGTGATGCCCGCGCGGTTGTTCTCCAGGTAGGTCACTGAAAACGCCATGATCAGCTACAGTGCCTTGCAATGGCGAAATCAAACCGCAAACGATACGATAGAATACATCATGCTTACCTAGCGCCTGCCTCTTCTGGTATGAGATGTGAGTGGCGTGGAAGGACGTGAACTTGGAGGAGGTGTCGAGGCTGTCCTCGCTCGGGGACATCTCGTCGTCGTCCGACTGGTCCGACTCCGGGGATGGGGGCACCTGCTGCAGCTGTAGGCACGACCTGCTCGGCGTCCTGGGGTTCTCCTGGTCACGCTCCACGGTGTTGATGGTGGCGTCTGCGTGCCACGCCGCGGCGATGCTGGTGATGGCCTGCGTCTTGTGCGTGATCTTTGCGGCGCTGTGCAGGCAGATGAGCAGGCCGGCCACGAGGCTCAGGGAGCAGAGCTGAAGAAAATTCCAGACGTTAATTGTACAATATGTCGAATGAACAGATGATCGAGCATGTACAGCAGCGCCGGCCGGGAGAAGGTTACCGCGAGCTCGCCGGCTGTGGCGATGTTGACCTGCGCGTGGGGCCTCGTGGCGCCGAGGAGCGCGGTGAACTGGCTGGCCGTCACGAGCAGGAGGCAGTACATTATGAACTTGCGGTACCGGTGGCTGATCCGCCGGAGCTGGTCACGGATGCGGCGGTGCTGCCCCAGCACGGCGACCACGTCGGCGCACTGGCCGAAGTCCCGCGCGAAGCCCGTCATGCGCAGGATCTGCAGGTAGCATATGATCCGGAACAGCACGCACGCCATGAAGAACATGGCCGTGCGGTACATCCACGACGCCATCTCCATCGCGCACGCCGCGGCGGACCACCACGCCGGGAAGGGCCGGTGCGCGCAGTACCAGAACACCTTGTAGGCGGCGTCGGCGAGGAAGCATGGCAGGACGAAGCAGGCGAGGAGGTGGAAGGAGCCGGCGAGCTGCATGGTGTAGCCCGCGCGCACGTCCTGGGAGTCGTGGCGGAGGCGGTCCAGGTAGAGCAGCCGGCGCAGGCCGCGGCGGCGGATGAGCGAGGTGAGCGTGATGTAGGCGAGCGCCGCGGAGAGCGTGAGCGAGACCTGCACCTGCGTGTCGTAGGCGCGGCGCGGCATGGCGACGCGCGCGGCCACCGGGACGGCCACCGCGAGGACGGAGAAGACGAGCCACGAGGCCGCGGCGCTGGAGCCGTCTGAGTGGTCGACGCACATCCAGCGGAGGCAGGAGCGGAAGCTGCGGAGCTCGTCGCGCGCGTGCGACATGCAGCGCTGGTACGAGCCCCTCCGCCGCAGCAGTAGCGGCGCCGACGCGGGCGAGGGCTCCTCGCCCGTCGGCGACGGCGGCGCGTCCCCGGCCATCCCTGCGCCTTTCCCGGCCCCGTGCTCCAATGTTCTCGGCCCCGTGTCTTGTCGATCGTATCCTTTGCGCGCGGCTTCCGTTTTACCAGCCGTCCTGGTGTTTAGGAGGGGTAATAATAATGCTGTAGTATTGAGCTAGCAAGAAGTTTCCTTGCTCTCCAGGGCGGGGAGAGATGGAAATGCTACTACAGAGAAACGGAGAGACATATATATCCAGTTGCTGGCTGCGGCCTATATGTCAAATTGGGAAATGCTTGTGGGTGTGGATCTGCATTCTGTAATGAATGACACGCCTTTTGCCAAACATGAAATTAAATTCAAATTATCTTCTAATTAATCAACAGCACAATTTTCCTTAAAAAAGGAAGGAAAAACCAGCACATAGCTAGAGTGCTAGACCAGAGGTTTCACGGCCCTTATCAGCCTTTTTTTATGGTACTTTGTTTTACTCATGAGATTATCATTATATGACGGTAATGTGTGATACGGAAAGCGCGGTGTATCTCGTGCGAGGCACAGAAACACCTCTTTTGCTTGGAGGTGGACAGCGAACGGTATCACAGATTCACAGCGACGACGGCGTGGAAAAGCAAAAAGAGAAGCCAAGTGCAGTTTTTTGTTTTGTTTTGTTTTGTTTCGGGGGTTAAATGAACGGAATCCCCACAGCTCAAGATCATAACAGCAGAAACCAAGGAGCCGATCGATCGATCGATCACTGGGGTAGCAGCTAGCACGGGCGCATGCACCGAAGCTCCTCTCCTGTGCCCCGACTCCTCTTTCGGGTTGAGGTACAGTCGCCAAAGGATGCTGCCAGTCACGGAGCAAAGTGTTCGGCTTGGCTGGCGGGTCGGGGACGGGAGTAAGAGTAACTGCACAGTGCCAATAAATGGAATACCGTGCCTTAACCACGGACCGCAAGTTGAAGTTTCTGCTGCTCGTTCCCGCCAGCCAAGCTGTTTCTGCTGCCGGATGGCAGAGAGAAAGGAAAACTACGCTGGTTCAGGCCCAGACCTTTCCCGTAAGGAAGTCGGGCCTGAATTCCTTTCCGGACGCGGGTTGTGTGCAAAGGCAGCGGTTGGGCCCTAGCGAGCCCAGAGTTCAGAGATGTCATGGGTCATGGCCACCATCCGCCCAAGTCCTATTTGGCGCTTAAGCCGCCACTTCTATATCTATATCTATATCTATACCTATACCTACTAATAAAAGAACGAAATATATATTTGGTAACCCTGTGCCCGATTGCAAAAACGACCACACGTACTGAAAACGCTTCGATCGTGATCACGCGGCTGCTGGCGATCTGCACAGGAGAAGAAGGAAAACTGACAGGAGCCTTATCTCCTCGCTCGCACCCATTTCCTCTCCTACCTAGCTCCGCCGTCGTCACGCACCCAACTCCTCCCCTGCTCCCGGCCGGCGACGTCCCGCCCCCATCTCCTCCCGGGCTTCTGCCGTGCCGCGACGGCCGATCCGGTGCACAACCGCCGTCAGCCTCCTGTCGCACGACCGCCGCGTCCATGCCCACCGCCGCTGCTCTCTATCCCCAACCCCCACCATCTCCTCGACTCCACAAGTCATCGGCGGGCCAACCCCGCGCGTCGTGTGCCTCCGCCACCCCATCCGCCACCTCTGACCACCGCCGCCGCTCATCAAATGGAAGATCCACCGTCGCCGCCTACTACATCGACAGGTGAGCTTATGGTGAGTGCCTCCTTTGACCATTCCGAGGAAAGTTTCCACTGGCGCAATCATCCTCTTTTCTCTCTCAATTCTGTTCAAACAATATAGCATTGAATCAGTTACTATGGAAATTGAAAAAAATCCTTCTCTGAAGTCCTAGTTTGATGGACAGAAGTCTTCAAAAATTCTAAATTGTCATCTATTTTTGTCGTGGTATGAGTGCCCTCAACTTGTTTGTAATTATACCTATGAGACTGAATAAATTATTTTCAATTATATGTGTATGTGACACGTTTCCTGATCATGGTGCCATAATTGCGCTCATCCTCTATGGGGTCCATCAGAACTGAAGTGCATTGCTCGATCAACCCATTTGGTTGCTATTCTTAAATTGTGTGATATGTGGTAATCGAATGTACATCACCAATGGCCTGAGATTGACATCGACGTGCACCGTTTCAGCTACATATCGTGAAAGGGCCTCAAGACCTTCCGAAAGCTGCACAAACATGGCGTCATCGATCTTGGGGCTGACCATTCAGGTACTTTTGTTTCCTTCTGTTCTTGGCCTTGAGACCAGTTGACATGAGGAGTATTTTGTTCCGAGGAAGTATAAAGTCTGAACCTTATAACTTACAGTGTCAGCTTGGTCACTTCTAGTGGGTCAGCATGATAACGATCACTTTGCTAACCTGTCTAACTCATTTTATTTTTCAGCATAGTAATTCAATTACTTCCACCTGATAATTCATATTGATCTAGCTTGATAAATTATATCGTGCCAACAGTTTAACTCGAACCGCTTTGAATACTTATTCTTTTTTATTTAACCAGATAACTTATGAAACTTCAGCCTGATAACTCGTGATGTATCAAAATGTTTAACTCTAACTGGTTTAAACACTCATGTTTTAACTTCAACTTGATGACTTATGCGGCTTCAACCTGATAATTTATAGTATGTCGGCCTGAATAAATTCTAGTGTGTCAACATGGTAAGAATCACTTTGTTAGCCCATTTAACTCATCTTATTTTTTTCAACATGGTAACTTGAAATTTTTTTTGATTGATAATTCATATTGTTTTAGCCTGATAATTTATACTGTGTCAGCATTTTTAATCCGATCTGCTTTGAACAGTTTTTTTTACTTTCAACCCGATAATTATGCAAACTGAGCATGATAACAATATGTCAGCTTGATAACTTTGAAGTGTCACCACATTTAACTCACACTTTGTCAACATGTTGAACTCATTCTATTTTTTGGCATGGTAACTTCATTTTAGCATGATAATTTATGATGTGTCAGCACAATAACTTGTATTTGTTTTGGCCGATAACTTTGTATTGTTTCGACCTGATAAACCACATTTCTCTTTATCTTATCAGATGGCGGAGAGCCTCATTAACACGGGCTTCTCCAACTGCTAGATGGCCATCCCCCAACATTCCTTCATGCTCGTTGTAGTCACCCGCTCCGAGTCGCTCAACCTTAGGGCGGCCATCGGCGCCACCAAGCTCGCCAGCACGCTCGTCTCGCTAGACGGCACCATGGTGATCACCTTCTACATAGGTGTGGTCTTCAACTTCATCCAGGTCACCGTGCAGGGCAACCTCGCCGGCTAGACCATCTCCAGCAAGTTCCAGATCATCACTTTCATGTACTCCGTAAGAAACCAACCAACCATCATGCTTTCGAATTGCTTGCTACATTATGCACAACATGGCTTGCCGCTGATCGACTTTGATTGATTTTACCTGAATTCGGGTTGTGCTCGCGTCTGGCATGTCCTTCGTGATGATGCATTCCTCCATGATGCTGACATGGTGCATCGACCCATGACCTAGCCTCTTCAGTGGGAAATTCTGACCACGCTAACCAGGTCAGCTACATCATGCTTGTGCTAAGATTGACCAATCCATGTGGCTGTTCATTCATGGAACTAGTGAATCAAAAAACAAAATCACAGAAGACCCAAAACTCATGGAATCGACCCATAGATTATATAAAAATAGCATGTGGTTGTTGAAAAACATACTCTGGATAACTTATATAAAAATAGCATGGTAATATATGAGCAACATACTTGATAACGTAGGTCAAACACCACGGTAACTCTGTCCAAGGAGGGGAACAAGTTGTTGAAAAACATAGTCCCAGTAACTTATGTGAAAATAGCATATTAATAAATGAACCGATACCCGATAACATGCATACAAACACCACGGTAACTTTGAACAGTGGAAAAATGTTATTGAAAATATACCCTTGGTAGCTTTTGTGGAAAAAACATGATAATATATGAACCATATACCTGATAACTTAGGTACAAATACCATGGTAAATTTGACCAAGAAGGGGAAAAAGTTCTTGAAAAACATACTCCTAATAACTTATGTGAAAATAACACGGTAATGTATGAACCGCATACCCGATAAGTACGTATAAACACCGTGATAACTTCGAGCAAGGAGGGAGGAAAGTTATTGAAAAATGTACCCCTAGTAAATTATGTGAAAATAACACAGTAATACATGAGCTGCATACCCGATAAGTTACTTACAAACACCATGATAAATTTGATCAAAGGGGAAAATATTAAAAAAACATACGCCGGTTACTTATGTGAAAATAGCACGGTAATATACAAACCACATACCTGATAACTTACATAAGACACCGCGACCAAGGGTGAAAAGGTTGTTGAAAAATACCCCTCATTAACTTCTATGTAAATAACATGGTAATATACCACCAACATAGTTGATAACTTAGGTGAAAATATTGTGGTAATTTGCATCTAAAAAGGAGGGAAGGGGATGATCGGGTTTGTGAACCATGTGAACCGGCGTGAAACGTGCAGAAAAAATGATGGAACTAGGGCGTATAGTCCTAAAACCCGGACAAGTGAGGCCACTGGTTTGGATTTTCAGTTATTGACCGCTGTCTTCTTTTTTTCAATCTCGTCTCAGGAAGATACAATTTCTATGTAACTCTTGTAGAATCAGCAAAGGGAGCTAGATCAGCTGGTTGTTGTTGTTACATTTAGTATGGTAGGTTGTGGGTTTGATCCTCTTGTAAGGCCTGTGTTTTTGCCTTTTTTTAAACTGTAGATAGTGCGGGTGCAGCGACCCAAAAAACCGGGGAGAGCACGCAACCTCGTGTGCGGGGAGGAGAAAATCGAATCGAAGGAGGGGGTTCGTTCGGGAGGTGCGGTACTTTTGCAATCTGCCACATGGTTGACAGTTATCACAATCCATAAAAGAAATAGGTATTCTTAGTCCGTCATACTATTTTGTAGAAAACCTCCTGATGTTTTTGATATTAAACCCGCACTATATATCAAATATTTTTTTAAATACTCATATCTATTAAACCGTAAATCCAAATTTAACATATTATATATGGAATTTGATTAGAAAAATATTTATAATCTAAGTATAATGTTATTTAACCTGTTATTTTTTTAAAAAAATACTATCCAGGCTTATTTGCTAACTGGCGCATACCCGGAGCGTTCAGGAGAGAACCGGGTAAAACAGGTTTTAGTAAAAAAAAATCTTTTTTTGCAGGGTAGTAAAAATATATTCAAATTCATGAATCTCATTTTCTAAATTTATATGATCTTTTCTCAAATTACTGAAGCTTTCTGGTTTTTTTGAGCTTTTCTAAAATTCGTGAACTTTCTCTGAAGTTCATGAACTTTTTCAAATTTACGACTATTTTCAAAATGTTGAATATTTTTCAAAATTCATGATTTTTATTTTCATTTGTTTACCTTTTTTCAAATTTATGTACCCTTTTCAAATTCATGAACTTTTTTTAAAACCATGAACATTTAATAGATCCGTGATTTTTTTGAAACTTCACCATACCCCTCAGTGCACTTTGGGCTGACCTAGTGCGGGGGTGGGGCGCCTTTTTTCATTTTTCTGTCATTTCTTTTTTCTTTCTGCACGATGTTTTCGCTTGGCCATGTCAGTGACATGGTGGAAACGCCATGTTCTAAGGATTTGCTTTTGGAACGCAGACGCCTAGGTGGATGGCGTTACCGAAAAGGGTCATATATCGTGATTTTTTTAAATATGATAATTTCATGCTAAACATCCTAAAAATGGTCAAATTTGTCATTTTAGCCCGAATGCAGCGGCTGGACCCCTGCAAGCCCAGACTCCGGAGATGACATGGGTCATGGCCATCCCATCGCAACGCAATTGCGGCATTGAGCGAATCTCAAGAAAAATGTGCGACATTGGGCAACACAGCGAAGAAGACCGACCGACAGCGATCAGCGGCGTGCCATGCGCAAATACAGTCCGTGGTCGTGGAAAATTCTCATGCAATTTGCGCGGCCACATTTTTTTTGAACCGGGCTAACCCCCTTTCCATTACTTAGAACAGAAATACAACAATCTGAAATAGAGAGAAGTCAAGAACAGGGAGAAGGGAGAGCGAGTTCAACGCACTACTAGGAAACCCACCGCACTCGCCCGCCGTCGAAACGAGCGCTATGGTCGAAAACCTAGTAGCACCATTCATCTAGACCTATTACAAAAGATAGTCATAAACTACAAGTTTTTAAGATGACAAGTTTCAAGGAGCCGTAGCCCACTCAGCAGGCATCTTCAATCGAGCAGGCAAAAGAAACAGCAAGACATGAGCGTTGGGGAGGATCTGCTTCAGTCTCCAACCTTGCTTGTCACATCACAAGCCTTCATCAGCATCAGAGTTCCATTGCGAATCATCTCCGCCCCTGCTCGAAGTTGCTTGACGTCATCTCCAACCTGAAGACCTGCCCAATATAGAACAAAGGAAACCACCATAAAAATAATCTCGAAAGGGGATTTAATCATCTTCTTCTCAAAGGTAGCACTATTCCATGCTAGCCAGATAGACCAAGTAGCCACGCCCAAAGCCACAATATAGAAGGGCTCATATCCAGGTAGGAAGGAGTAGCACCACACAAAGAACTGCCAGCAGTTTCTGGGGCAAAGATTAGTCCCAAGTGTCACCCCAATAGATCGCCAAACAACTCTGGCAACAGGACAGTCAAAGAACAAGTGCTGGGAAGTTTCAGTTTGTTGGCAGAAGGAACACACAGGTTCCCAGGCCACTTACGTTGCCGTATCACCTGTCTAATCAGAATTGCATCTTGCGAGAGTTGCCAAAGGAAGATTTGGATTTTAAGTGAAATTTTAGCTTTCCAAATCCACCTAAAGTTGCACCCACTAAGGGTTTTTTTGAGCCACTTATACACGGACTTAGTAGTGTATTTGCCAGATTTGCTCAGGCTCCAGTACACCGAATCAGGGGTATCTGACAGGTGCATATTGCGAACCTGATCTTGTAGGTTAGACCACTGTTCCATTAGGCCAGTGTCCAATCTCATGCGAAAGAAATTAGCGCAAACTATGGATTCTAGCTTATCCAGAGTACAGTCCTCATCAACACAAATGTCAAACAGGCGGGGGAATTGTTCATGAAAAGGAGTCAACCCATTGATAGAATCTTTCCATAGCCTGGTCAGATTACCGGTCCCCACGTGGATCTTCCTGCCTATCATATACAAATTATTGATTTTCAACAGGTTTATCCAGCAAGGTGAGTCAGAGAAACGAGGACCCACAGTCGCAATAGTTTGGTTACGCAAGTATCTAGCCCTGACAATATCTTGCCAAATCCCTTTCTAGGTGTCTAGTTTCCACCACCACTTTAGCATCAGACTAATATTTTGTTTGCGTAAATCTTTCACTCCGAGCCCCCCCCCCCCCTTATCTTTTGATCTACATATTCTGTTCCATTTGACCAAGTGGTATCTCCATTTCTTATTGCATCCCTGCCAGAAGAATCTCCTTCTATGTTTATCCAACTTCTCCACAAAGGTTTTGTTCATCAACCACATAGACATATGGTACAGAGATAGTTGTGTGACCACCGAGTCTAACAGGGTATGTCTCCCTCCCATAGAGGCAGCATTACCAACCCAAGCATCAAATCTTAGTAGATATTTGTCAACTATGAATTCCCAGTCAGAATTTCTAAGAGTCGTGAAGCTCACCGGCATACCCATGTATTTAAGAGGGAATTGACCTATGTCACAATTGAATAGATCAACATAAGCCCTAGTAATCTGGGCATCCCCCCAAACGGTTAGAATCTCGCTTTTATGGAAATTAACCTTGAGGCCAGACATCATCTCGAAGACGTACAACAGGAGTTTAAGGTTAATAGCTTTGTCTATATCATGCTCTAGACAGATGATCGTATCATCTGCGTATTGCAGCACCGCAACTTCATGAGGAATTAAGTCCGAGGCTAGCCCCACAATAAGATTGTTTTCTGGGCATTCTTGATCATTTTTGTGAGGCACTCCACAGCCAAGTTAAACAAGAAAGGTGAATAGGGGTCCCCCTCGCGCACCCCTTTGACACTTTGGAAATAAGGGCCAACACAGTTGTTTAGTTTGATATACTAACCGTGCCATTGTGAAGGATCTGCTTAACCCAATCACGTTTAGTGCAACGGTAAAAGAAGCACACCTTTACGAGGAGTAAGCATTACGCATGCACAAATGGAGCACCGAGATTGGACGTGTTCCCCCGCTACTTGGTAACAGCACGTTACTACCGGACAAAAATGAAAGTAGAAATCCGTTGTCTAGATGAAGGAGTGAGAGTGAGACGATGCTGCCACTTAATTCCTTTGCAGTAACTAGCAATGATGAGTCGATGGCCATGAAGCTCCGTCAAGTGATCTCCATAGACACCAAGCAACCAAGCTGGCTGCCTACTCCATGGGTGGTGGTTGGCGAAGCGACAGAGCACCACACGCGAACACTCTACCAGCTTGCTCCTCTAGCCGCTTGCCGAAAAAGGAAACAGGAAAAGAGAATGGAAAGAAACCGACGGAAAAGCAGAGGGGGGTGCTTGCTAAAGCTGTTGACCGCTGCTTGATTGAATGATTGGCCGGCCACATGACGGCCACTACACCAGCCCGTTCTAGCTTTGCTAGCTTCTTTAGCTTCCTCTGTCTCCTCATCTTTAATTAATCTGGAGTCGGATTAGGTTAGGGGGTGCTAATCTAGATTTTGGGGATTTCAAACACGTGTCACTATATATGCTCCCAAGCTCAAGCTCTGAAGCATAGGCTAGCAGTGCTCTGCACAGCTGCACTCTGGCAGCTGGATGTGTAACAACAACAACTCATTCCAAGGGGAAGTGATGAATATGATCTAGAGTTCTAGTAGACTCCAAGGGAAGTGAAGATTAGTATGATCTAGGCTTCTAGATTCATCCGAGGACGGCGTGTGCTGCTGTAATTATGACATAAGTAGGTTTCACGTAATGGCGACTATGGACGATCATTGACGCCTATAATTTTATAAGCGGCCATTTTCACGTTTACGATTTGACAGCCTGATTAAGAATGCCGTGGCTAAAGAGAAAGCAGTGTGTTGGAGATGCCAAGTTGCTGCTGGTTAGGGGACAGCATGATCCTGCTACATCCTAAAGCTTAAGCTATGGAGCTTAATCAGCTACTCTACTTACACTCCTCCTTTTCCGAGGCTTAAAAATTTGCTTAATCACGAAACCAAAAGGCGGCGCCTTTGATCGCTTTACAACCGCGCACGGTCCTCTTGCAGCGCCCATGCATCTTACTACTACCCTTACCCGTTCGCCCAATTGTGCATTGTCCTCTTGCAGTTGCACGGCAAGACAACGTAGCAGAGCAGAGCGCGGCGGCACGGAGGAAGGACAGAGAGCGGCGATGCACTTCTTCTCGGGCCGGAGCAAGCTGCGGCAGAAGAATGGCGGCGGCAAGAACCAGGCCGATGCCAGCGCGGCGCCCAAGGCGAAGCACAAGGACGGCAGGTGCCGCGCGCTGTGCTGCGGCGCGTCGCGGCTCAGCGTGTCCTCCTCGGCGTCCTGCTCGTCCCTGGACGCGCCGGACACGACGCGCGGCCGCATGTCGGACATCGCCCACGGCATGGTCCAGGCGAGGCTGCACTCCATGGTCGACGCCGCCTCCGCCGACGGCCGGTCGTCGGCGACGCGCCGCGGGACGGAGCTCGCTGATCAGCGCCGTCGCTGGCCGTGCGTCTGCTCCTGCGCCAGCGGCGGCGGCGGCGGCTGCTACGAGAAGAGCGCGCCCAGGCCCAGGGAGAGGAAGCCGTGCGTCGTGCTGGTGGCCGTGGACAGGAGGACTTACGAGCCCCGGGAGGAGTTCCGCCGGTCCATCGCGGAGGTGATCGCGGCGAAGCGGATGGCCGAGCCCGCGGAGCTGCGGGCGCTGCTCAACTGCTACGTGTCCGTGAACGCGCGCGAGCACCGCGCCGCCATCCTCGACGCCTTCCACGAGGTGTGCACCGGCCTGTTCGCTTGCAAGGGCTGAAGAGGCGTACCGGCGGCGTCCATGCTTGTGCGTGTGCGCATCTGTCGTGCTCTCGCAGCCTCGCAACGGGGAAGTGTGATGGTATTGGCGTGATAAGTTAATTTTTGTTCAAACAGTGTTGCTCAGCACTGCTGTAATAATGTGCCCAAGCCTCAGGCATAGTGTGCCTATCTTGGGCAATTTTCGTCGTGTATATATTTCGCTGTTTGTTATGTTGATATATCCGAACCTATCCTCAGTTCAGATGTGGATTTCAGAATAAGTTAGTGCAAGGTCAGCATTGAGTTTGTTTGTCTGATTGAACTTAGTTACGCCGGCATACACATCCATGAGTACACAACATAACCTTAATAATTTATTACAGAGCCAATAGTGTATTGTACTCCCTCCGTTCGAAAATAACTTACATGGTTTTAGTTTGAAACTGTCACTTAATAATACTTTTTGAGCAAAACCATCACTTAATTGATGCGTGAAAACCTACTATTCATAAGCTAGTTTTGTATTCTTGAACTCTGAATGCCAACCTAGTTTTGTATTCTTGAATTCTGAATGCCAACCTTACAAGAATTGTTTTCACCTTTTTTTAGAAAATTGCACATCAATGTTTGTTTGGTGCAATGCTATTACATGTGTATGCTTGTGTTCTTGCATTGTGGATCAACAACTGGTTACCTTTTTGAATAAAAAACAAATCTAACAATCATTAAGATTCATGTAACCAAAACAATCAATTAAACCCTACAACCGAAACAAAATCTATCACTAATCATATAATCAGGAAAGAAACTTGACGGGAGTTTGACACGTATCACTTCTATTCGTGTTAAGACGCACATTTTGAACAGGAAAAGGGGGAATAATTAAGATAAGGAGGAGGATTGCTAAAAAGCCTCGATCATCAGGACACGACATGATTTATTCCTTGCTTTTGTACTACTAGCTCCTGTTGCTGCGTGCTTAAAGGTGTCGGCCTCATGAAGTTAATCTACTTTGCGGGTCTTAAACACTAGTAGTTAAACGCAAGTTGCTGCAGTAACCCCCACTTGTGGGATCAAGCTATCTCTCACTTGGATTTTATGTCTTTGAAATATAGAGACAAAAGAGTCACTCATTCATTAACTAAGGAGAAGAAAACAAAGGTTCACAACAAAATTACACCGGGACTACTCTCCCGACATAAGAGCATCTCCAACGCTGTGACCCGCAAATATCTCTGATATATGTCCGCTTTTTATGTCACGACGTGGTCCGCCGATATGATGTGGGAGTGAGTCATCCAATGCTAATCACAAAATATCATGTTGGGAGGTGAAAAAATGGGTG